CAGTATAGAAAAACAGGTTATTGCATATTCTCCTGGAAGCCATTTCCAGGCACATGAAATTAAAGAAGTTGACTGGGAACAGGCAGTACAGATCTACCATGGCAAGTTATGCCTCACCATGATAAGACGATAAGATGATAAGATGAGATGATCTAGCCATGATGAAATGACTGGCCCCACTGAGAATAAGCAGTGGATATCATCTATGTTGACTCTACCATTTTTTTCAGCATGGTCTTACGTGATGCTGTTCTAGTTTATTGGACTAGATCAGTTGTTTACAAGATCAGTAACTGAACTGGACTGGCATGCTGAAAGGCCAAAAGGTCAAAGTGACTGGTATCTGTTTACTAGCGGCATTCTTCAGGAGTCAACACAGCAGCAATTTGGACAGTAGGACGTAAGGCAATAAGACATCCTTAGTACGTTTGTGGAGGATTCCAAATTGGTGGTGAGTGGTAAACATGTAGGGCTGCCATTTAGAACATTACAGGCTAGAGAAATGAGTTGACAGAAACCTCATAAAGTTCAGCAAAGGCAGAAGCTAAATCCTGCTTCTGAGCCAGAGCTGACCATGCAGAAGTACTGGCAGGGCACTGCCTGTGCAGAAGGCAGTTTCACGGAGAAGGACCTGAGGTCCTGATGAGCAGAAAGTTGAACAAGGGTCAGCAGTGGCCCCTCTCAGCAAACACAGACAATCAATACTGGGTTGTATTAGCAAGAATATAGGCAAGACATTGTGAGAAGTTATTATTCCCCTCAAATTGTCACTTTTGAGGTTACATCTGGGGTACTGTGTTCAGTTATGGGACATCCCAGTAAAGACATTGACAAACTGAGCAAGTCCAATGGAAGGCACTTAGGGGGCTGAAGCATATGATATGCAAAGAGGGGCTGAGGCAGCTAGATTTGTTCAGCCCAGAGAAGAGAAGACTAAAACAGAATCTGATTACTGTCTTCCACTACATAAGGAGAGGTCACAGAGGAGACAGAACAAGACTCTTCTTAGAGATACACGGTGAACAGCTGAAAGATGCCAGTCACAGGCTGTACCAAGGAAAATGCTGATAGATGTAAGAAAAAACAAATATTTGACTACAAGAGTAGTCCTTAAGGAAAGGCTGTGGAACCTCCATCCTTGGAGATACTCAGAATATGACAGGGGATATGGCCTGAGCAGCCTGATCTAATTTCAGAGTTAGTAATGCTTTGAGCAGAAAGTTGGACTAGGTGACCTCCAAAAGTTCATGCCAACCTAAACAATTCTGTGATTCTATATGTGTCATTTTAAAAAGCATCTAGCAGTTCATGTGGTGCTTGAGAGCTCTTAACTTTGCTTAGTCCCTCCTGAATAAGAAGCATCTACATATATTCTTTGCTATAGCGTTGCATTCTCGCACAATCTTGGGATGGGATGATTACCATTTGCTTTATAGAAACACTGTGTTTGATCCTTTTGAATATTCAAAATGTTGTCTCATGCAACTGACTGCTTACTCAAGGTTGTTTAACATGCAGAGCCTGTAGCCCGAGAACCATAAAAGTTTTGAGCCCCCTTACAGTATTGTCTTTGCCATAAAAACACTTCTTGTCTTGCTGTTAGAGACGATACCATTTTCCCCAGTTGTATTACAGCTAAAAACATCTAGATGTAATGAGGCTTAAATAGGAGCAGGATGATCTCAGAGTTTTCTCCCTGAGAGCCCTCATTCAAAGTAATCTTCACTCACTTCTTCAGAAATGCTTGGTAGTTCCTGGGTTTCATAAAGGTGGTTTAAAGAAGGTGTAAATGAGAGAAAGTGATAGTCCTGATGAATTAATACACTAAATCTAACCTAGGGCAAAGATAAATGCCTCTTTTTTGAAAGGTCAGAAATCATCATTGTAACACAAGCAACACTGTATCTTAAGCAACTGGATAAAGTTAAAATAACCTAGACAGATAGGTTAAATATTTACCCGTGTGTTTTCAGATATCTCCAAGCACCATCAATACTTCCACCATTACATCCATGTTGATTCCTTGTATCACAAGAGATCAAATTCTGAACTGAAAGGTTGTCTGTGATCTGACCGCCAGAACGAATTGCTATTCTATCTGCTGCAACACCTGTTTTGAAACAAATTTTCCATTATCAAAACCAGATAATTACAACTTCACACTGGTTATTGTGAAATAGGGACTGAAACACAACTTCAGTATTTTCTGACTGTGCAGATATCTTTACAAAACAATAAAGATATAAACTGTACAGACTTCCAAGAGAGGATTGTGAAATTGCGAATCATGAGCAACTTTGCTGTAATATTATAAATCAATAGATTTACTGATTATCATAAAGTCCCACATATCAAAACATCAGATGAGGCATTTACGTAATTTAGTCTGATAGTCTCTAGCATGTTTGTAAATGCATATTCATTTCTGGTTGTCTTCAGCAGAAGATGCAAATACTCCCCCACCTCTCTGCAGCTGAATCTCCATATCTCTTTTCTTTCTTTTCTTCCTTCCCTTCCTTTAGTTGAGAAAAAAAGAAAGGCAAAAATGAACAGTCCTATGAAGAATAAAATTCAAGACTGAAAGTATGTATTTGCTTTAGTGGAAATCCTCATAATAGTGTGTAGAAGTGGGATTCGTTGGACCACCCACCCTTATCACACAAAACTGTTCTTCTGAGATAGACACCTTAGAGCTACTTCTCGTTCCTTTAATGAGTGACAATGAAACAATTATTAAGCCCCAATCCCAGTCAGTACCTGTGCTTAAATTATATTTTTATTATTGTTAGCCTTTATCTTTCAACCTGAAAATAATAAAAAACACCACCTGGAAACCTAAAGTTCTATCAAAATCAACACTAACTTCAGTGAACTTTGGACAAGATTTCAGAAGAGTCAATTTACTGATGGCAGCTGACAGCAACGGTGTTCTTTGCTTTTGTGAGGTGTCACATGAAGGTGAATTTATTTTCATAGGTGTAAAAACTTTTTACTGAAGAGTTTTGGAATATTGATAGGAATTACTTATGATAAGAAAAATGATACAGTAGTGCTTGTCTATTCATAGAGAAACAATTAATCTTACAAAAAAGTATTGAAAATTCAGATTGAAAATGCTAGATGCACCTAAACAACATGGGAAGGCATCTCATAGTATTTAGCATTGAAAAGAATTATGTGAATTAAGATCAAAATATTCAATTATGAAAGGGAAAATTTAGACTGAAGATCTGGAAAGTCTTTCCCTCATTGAGCTCTGTTCATCTTTGCAATAATCTGTCCAGAGTGCTGTTAGGAGCTTCCTTGGTTTTCTCTTTTATAACTACACTTGACAAGACATATTGACAATGGAGTGCCTTCAGTCTGTCTTTGCCAGGGAGCTGGGATTAACTGAACTAAATGTTCCTTTCCTTCTCTTACTGCTGTGATTTAAAGCAGTTGCAGAAACCTGCGCCCATGAGGACCCACTGGCCAGATTAAGTCATAAAGACTGATTGCATAATATTTCTTCTCCATTTTTATATGTACCAATATATACTGAGATTTATTGCAACATGAGAAAAATGAATGTAAATGATCGCTGTACCTTCTTTTAAGAAAGTGACACAAACACTTTTGTCCATTTCTCCTAAAAACAGAGGTTGCAGAACATGCAGTTGAATTGCCTTACTGAAATTTCTTTGCTTGCAGAATCTGAAAACAGTTACTTCCACAACTATCTGAGCAGTTTCAGGGTCTTCTTCTCATAAAATTATTGAAAAGGTTGTATTTAATTTGCTGAAATAGCAAGGGTTGGACAATAGTAAATGCACAAATGTAAACATACATTAAAGGAAAAAAATAAAGATCACCTGTTTTAAGCTTTCAAGTCAAGAATGCAATTCTGCAAGCAAGGGATGCAGGTTTTTACTTTATCCATTACAAAAAGGTGCATTAGTCAATTTACTTTCTACTTTCTGTGGAAAACAAATTTTCTACTAGAAATTTTCTACTTTCTGTAACACCTCCCTTTGTTGCATGAACTTACGAAAAGTAAACAAAGCTCTACAGCTTAGATTGGACTTCTTAAGACTTGAGGACAACTTAAAAGGAAAGCTGTAGAAATTTAAATGTTATTTGCTGATAAAAAGTGAACAGCAAGCTGAAGTTACTTCATTACTAATCACTAGAAATTTTCATCACACATCTAACATCAAAGATATTTTTTAAAGGAGAAAGAAAATAATTACTTGTGGTTGAAAAAGCCCAGGATGCTCCACAGTTTCGTTGATCCAGGGGATCATGAATCCATTCAGGCCATGCATAAGTGGCTGCAAAAAATGCAGGAAATTTTTCTTCTGGAACTGAATTTCCCTAAAACAAAATGTAAGAGATCTGTACATGCTTCGATATCTATTTTTATCTTAAATTTTACCCTAATTTTGTATTTAAAGTTTTTAAATTTTAAAACAAGGAAACCCAAAGCATTGGCATCTGTGGCTTCCTGAGCACCAATGTGATAGCTGCCCTGTGGCTGAGTGCTGTGGACCCCCTGAGAGCAGGGAATTCTGGCACTCCCCTAGTTGAGCTGGAAGCTAAGCTCCACAACTGCCAACCTGAATAACCTCTCTAGTTTCTCTCTGATTTTTATCTCAAACAGCAATTCCTTATGAAACATGTTAATTATGACCCATATAATTAATTTTGGCATTTTTGGAAAGAAAAGCCTTCTGCTACAAACCTGTTACCTTATTCTCCTTGACACATGGCTGTAGGTAGGAAATTTTAGTCACCCTGTGAGGGAGGCATCAGTGTATTGTCATTGATCATTGTGTATCATTGATTTGTCTTTTACACAGAGGTTTTTCAATCTCCAGCACTTATTCTCATTCCAGAACAAAAGTCAGTGATTTTCCTTTTGCATTGCACTCCAATGTTGAGTAGATGAAAATTCATGGTCTGTTTACTAAAGCCATTTGGACAGCCAATATTGGCATCTTCATCTCAGACTTCATTTATGTCCTCCAAGCTTTGCATATCTGCATATGCAAGAACCATCTGGTACAACTGCTATTAATCTCTCTGTGTTCAACATACCAAAACCATTGACCCATGTTTGGTTTTCGTTTTTTTTTGCTGTTGAACTTTATGGAATGATTGCTTCTGCTGTGCAGGGAAATAGGAATAGCCACACAGAATGACAATATTAGTCTATCCAGTCTATCAGTTTGTCTCAAACAATTGTTGATAACATCTGTTTCAGAGGAAAATACAATATACAAACTACAATAATCTGCTCCTAAGCAAAACATTCCCGGATGCTTCTTTCTTATAAGCAGCCTCATATCCTGAAGCACAATAGATTCAATTCTGTTCAAATTCCTTTATTTTACTTTTATTTACTTGCCTTCTAATTCTGTCCTTTCTGAACCACTTTTCTAAATTGCTTGTGTGACTTATAAGACTACATACCTGTTCCTAAGATGATTTAAACTTTTGAGCTCAGTTCTTTCAAACTATTTAAGGACACTCTGGGGAACCAAACTTTACCACTTTGGCTGTATTCAGATAACTTTGTTGTGTATGCCAGGAAACAGCATTGTCTCCATCTAGCTTGTACACCTGGATTTCCCACAGAAACCCACGACTGAGAAGCAGCTAGAGATAAAAGAAACTTGTACCTCAGTTCTGTATCTGACATTAAATTAGGATACCAACGCAACAAATTGATGCAGTCTGTAGATATGCCTAGACCCAGTAACACTCAAGTGCTTCTAGGTTCACTATGTTAGATGCAGGCTAAGTCCTAAATACCATTAAAGTATACTGCAAACTGTTAAGTCACTTAAGTGCTTTTGAAAGTTTTGCCTCCGACCATAAAAAAAAGTAACTTTTTAAATCTTGCTAAAATATTAATCTCAATATTTTGATTAATAACTTGCAAAAGTCTGATTTTTCAAAAGCTTGTTACATGCATGGGACTTGCAACCTCAAATGACACACAGAAAGCAACAGCTAATTTAAACAATATCTTGGTAAATTATTATGCTCATTATTAATGAGCAAGCACAAGCACAAGATTTACTTTGAAGATGACATAAATCTTATAGGTGAAATCATAGACAAATAGTGTTTCTTTTAAATGATAAAACTGCTCATTATCAACCAGTAAACAAGCAAAATTTGGCAAAGGTTGTTCAGCACACTTAGGAGGGCAGTGACTGCTTACAATGTTACAAATGAGGCAGCTGAGAAAATAAAATTCTAAATAGGTCTTTGGTCTGAAAAAATGTGTTACTTTATGTATTCCTAAACTACTGCCAAAGTATTTAAAAGCCTTGTATTGTAAATCCCAGAGCAAATCCCTCATTAACCCTCAGCCTTGTCATTTAGAAATGCTGGATTGACCTGTAGCCAGAAACATTAGCTTATTATATGAGAAATTCCTATCCTGATATTGAGAAGCACTGCTGTTCTGTGACAAATATTAAGTCTAGACAATTGCTTCGCAATGTATGATCCAAGAACCAGCATCAGACAGCACAATGCAATCAGCAAAATGGATGAGTGACAAACTATTTTTAAACCTTCATATGTATTCCCTGCAGCCAAGCTAGGCCAAAGCAGGAAGGTAGGTGGATGTAAAAGAACACTCATACTTCATCTATGACTTCAGAAGAATTAGATGGCCTTTCAGAGAAAAAAAAAAAGCTGAAGATTACTGAATTTGCAAATGTGGAAATAGTTTTTCTGAGGGAAAGCTGTATATTTTTTTTTTTTTTTTTAAGTAGGAAAAAGGTTCTGGACATCACTTGCTTTGTGAAGACAAAAGGGGCGTGCACGACTTTCAGTTTACAAAAGAGATCTACAACTGCTGATCTTTTTACTATGAAAGTCATGTATCTATGGAACAGCTGGTGTACTTTGTACACCTTCACATTTTATTTACAAGTTCTTTGATACTTATTACAAAATAGTGCCTTATTACTAAACTACGTATTCCATTTTCTTGTAAGATGACACTTAGGTGAGTACTTTGATGCTGACAGGTTCAGACCTCGCCATTGCCAGAACACGTACTGACAGAATACCACCAAACGTGTATCACAATGTGATTTAAGGGCATGGCAGTTATTTTTCTGCTGCACAGACTTCAAGAATGATTACACTATCCATTCAGTAAGTAAACACTTTCAAAATGCCTTCTCAGATAACACACACGAGGCTATCAGCAGCTCCAGTTCTGCCAGGAGTCACAACAGTTTTAGTGGTGTATTTAGGTGTCAGTCTATGTTCAGGTCTAGGCATACTCTGCAGCAGAGGGTACTCAGTTCAGATTTAGTTCTTGTTCCATATCATTGTCTTTTAGGTATTCTATTGTGACATCACATTCCAGACATAAACATCATCTTCTTGAGCAGGTATAGTCTTTTATTAATAGCAGAGCTTTTAAAAGCTCTATAAACAACTTCAAGAAGTTTGTGTTTTCCCTAAGATGAAATGTAGCTCCTTCACACCATTTAATTTGAAGTAATGTTAAAGAAGCCGTATTTGTAGTTGGAAAAGCCTCTACTCTACAACTAAACCTTTCAGGACTGCAGATAACTAGGACTCTGCCATAGATATAACATGGTTAACACAGAAGGGATTTATATTCTTTAATCCTTTTTTCCATGCAATTGAGTAAGCAGCCCCTTCTATACAAAGAAGCTTTTCTCAAGCATCCTCCAAAGACAGTAGAAAATAATCAGAACAGCCAGAAACTCTCATTTATTCTCTAAATAGTAGAATAGTAGATCAGCAGCATGCTGAAGAAATTATTTTCATTTAAAGTGAAAAAAAAAAAGAAAAAGAATTATAGTTAACGAATGGGTAGCTGTGGTTCTCTTTCTACGTTAGCAACACTACCAGGTTTTAATCAAGTCAGCACAAGACAGAGCCCAAACTTTCTGAACACTAATTGTAGCATTTTTATCAACTAAGTATATTACTCTGGGCAAATGACTTGCAGTTTTCTCACTTGCAAAGTGGGAAAGGCAGTAAGAATCCCAGAGAATACATGAATATTTAATTACTGCCAATTTATCCACAATAAGTAACTAGTACATTGGCCTGCAGGTGAATTAGTACTCAGCAAAGTCACTTAAAGGTCAAGCCATTAAGGTTTGGAGAATATCTGAAAAATGTTTAAAAGTCATTATTTCTGAATTTCGTCATTCATATCTTTTTACTCTCTTCAAAGTTGTCACCTAGTTACAGGTGAAGCTTAATGGAAACACTGTCATGAAAACTTTTTTTTTACCACTTAGGGCTCTGTAAATGTGTTAGCTTGCTTCACCAAATAGCAGTGACAGAAAATAGTTTGTGAAAGGTAAAGCAGGGGCAAGAGTCTCTGAAAATCTGATAAGATACTTATCTTAAAAAATACCTGGAAGTCAACTCCATGGCTTACAGTTGGTTTACCATTTGGAAGAGTCTCTTAATGTACCCCTGCTGAGACAAACCTATGCTATGAAATTGCTGGATCATGCAGTGATATGGAGCTGGCTATGAGTGAATAAAACTTCTTTTTTTTAAATATTTTTGTGAAGTATTAAAATGTGGCAAATAATAGAATTTCCTGAGGCAGAACAAGGGCACTAAAGAGATTATGTTCTTCTAGAAAACTATAGAATGAGACAGAATCAGGGAGATTTGGAGCTTTTCAGGAAGCTTTAGAGAAAAATATTTTTACATCAAGACTAGTTAAGACAGAAACCACTGGGGTAAGAGCAAGAAAGTTCTAATAGTTCTGAAGAGAAACCATAGGAAGGAGGCGGGCTCATGTACAATTACAGTTCAAAGACATTTTCTGCAAGCTCAGAGAATTGTTCAGAAACTGAGAAAGTTGGAGGTTATTATTTTATATTTTTAGCTTTTGTAAGTACAATGAAATATTTCTTAGAATCCTGTGCACATCTTGTGTGTCCAGCAATATGTAGGACTTCATGAGGGTCAAATGCATAAATGCATAATGCTGGATTTCTGGAGAAATGCACTGAAGCTCCTCAGGTGTCTGGCAGGGCCAAAGGTAGTTGGGTTGTGGCTCACAGATTTTGAAAAACTACAACAGGTAGAGAAAATTTGCCTGAGAAATGTATCAGTGGAATAAAGACCTCAAGTGGTGCAGCTGTCAAAGAAGCTACAGGAAACTTAATAATGATGATTAAATAGGCTGGACATAATGCAGGACCACTGAGTGAGCAGCTACCTCAAACTGAATGGAAAAGAGGAAATATCATATAGAATTTCTGTAACTTTCTGTCTTGTTTTCCTGGGTGGGATTTGTCTCATCTAGCTAGATACCTAGTAATGTAGATGTCAATCTCTGAACTAGGTACATGATATTCACTTTTTGCTTCTCCTATATAAGCATCACACTGTGTTCCTCAAGGAAAAAAACAACAAATCAACCTCAACTATCTTTAGCCTCAATACAGTTAACTGGTAATTTGTAGCAGATACCTACTAAATTTACACTAAACTCTTTTATGTCCCTGTCTAATTTTGACTTGCCATCTTGAACTGAAGTGGATCCTTCTGTGGCTGCGAGGAGTAGTCTAGCAAATCATAAAAGGCAAAACTTAAAGTTTAGTATCTGTCAACTTCTTGCTCCGATAACCCTCCATAGTGTAATTTTAAGCAAGATAGCCAGTGTAGGCCACAACCCAATACCTCACCATGCTGGTGCAGGAAGCTGACTGTGTGGGACAAAGAACCAGTCTGCACCAAGTAAAAGGGCTAGGATTGTTAAAATTGTTGCAGAGGCACATGGCACTCCTCCTCCTTCCCAAATTCCCTGACAAGTGGTAGCTTTGCACTGTAATTTTGGTTCTTCTAAGAAAGAAGTCAAGAAACTGATCCAAAGAATTTAAAAATCTATTCTGGGTTTAATAGCGATGCATTTCTTCTTTAATTGCTTATCCTACTTTCACAACTTCATGCATATTTGCTTTGTTGCAGAACTAAATATAAAAGCATAAATATATGATAAGAAATTCAATTAGGCTGCCATGAAAATAGCCATAGCAAAGAGGTTTAGAAAGCTGGTAGTAGAGAATCATCTCATCTTCCCATTCTTCCCATCGTTTTTCCTTCCATTTGGCTAAACCCCCAGTTTTTTACTGCATCTTTACATTGCTCTATCCTATGGGTTTTCAGAGCTTCTTTCAAAGAGTGGTGTTTAGTCTCAGCTGTTAGTGTTAATGAATTATGCCCAGACTTATTTAATTTTTTTTATGGCTACAGCTATGTGTGCAATGATTAACAAATGGAGACAATAGTATGGAAGCATCCTAAAGAAGCAAAGTTTTCAAACACCTGTGATCTACAATGATAAGTCAATATTGGTGCATAGCTTCCCAAGGGTTAAATTTGCTTTTGCTCCTCCTTGTTTGATTTCCATCAATAGGACCACACACTCTGTGGCTTGGAGAACTATTCCTTGAGTTTCATATTCAACACAGAAGCATTTCGCATGTTTAATTACTGTTGAATCCCTGAATCATAATCTTACAATTGTCCACATTTATTTTCCATGTGATAAAGTTATTTTAAAAATTAACAATTGTACACTTACTGGAGCTTCTTTCATACTCAGCAAGGAATGAGATGGAGGGAAGGTGCCCAAGCGCTTTTTGAAACCTTCTTCCACTGTCATTCCCCAGAACTGAGTGTAGTTGGCAGCTTTCCATCTTTCTCACAGACAGAAAACAAACAAGCAAAACCCAGGTTAGAGATACCATTCACATTAATAACTTGCTTCTTTGCAAGAACACCACTAACAATAACATCCAGATATAAGTCTTTCCACTTACATTTCAAAACCTTGTATTCGGTACACATGAGAAAACAGCCTAGAGAAGAGAAGCTGCATGTAGACCTCTTAGAAGCCTTCCAGTATCTGAAGGGGGCCTACAAGAATGCTGGAGAGGGACTCTTCATCAGGGACTGTAGTGATAGGACCAGGCATAATGGGTTTACACTTAAACAGGGGAAGTTCAGGTTAGATAAAAAGAAGAAGTCCTTTACTATGAGGGTGGTGAGGTGCTGGAACAGGTTACCCAAAGAAGAGGTAACTGCTCCATCCCTGTCAGTGTTCAAGGCCAGGTTAGACAGAGCCTTGGGAACACGGTCTAGTGTGAGGTATCCCTGCCCATGGCAGAGGGGATGGAATTTGATGATCTTAAGGTCTTTTCCAACCCTAATCATTCTATGAGTCTATGACTTAGTACAGGCTCTTCCACTGCAAATGAGTGTAGGATGGAGCAACACAGCAGTGTATGGAAAGTGGCGATTTGAGGTCAGCATCATGTCAGCCTGCAGGAGATAAGCAAGCAATACTTCAGAGACACACTGGAAAACAAGGTGCTTGATTGTAACAGTTAGTGCTGTCTTGAAGTTATGCTCAAATTATGCTTCAGGTCAGATGCCCACAGAGAACTAACAGCTTCATGTACCTACATTGCCTTCGAGCTCTAGTGCACCAATAGTGAGACACTGTTGAACCCAGCAGAAAGCCCATCTGACACATTGTGACTGAGTTTTACACCAATAGCCAGGTTGAAAGAGAGGGATCTCTATGGTTGTTTAATTATCCCCTCCCTACTCTCAAGTAGACTAGACTGAGATTGCAATGTTAACCGCAAACTGTGTGCACAACAGAAAAAAACTTACCTTGGAGCCATATACATTTAGAACACACTGAAATTTGTTATTACTAGAAAAAAGCTGGGCCACAGGGGAGAATATTATCTTTACCCCATTCTTTCTTGCTTGTGTATGAGGAGCAAGGAGACAGGATTCATGCTGCCCAAATGAGAAGTCTCACTTCTTTTGGTCTTCACTGTAGAGAATGAAGAGTGCAAGCACCTGCAGAAGTGGCATCGTATCTCAGCTGGACTTAACCACCCTGTGGCAAACCTTACCACTGACCACTAACAAGAGGCAGGTGAAAGGCTCTGGGTGCCTAACTTAATTGTCTATCCTAAGTCAATTGGTTTTAATGTCTCCCATGAAGTACAAAATGTTTTAGCATTGAATCACTGTTTGAAATCTGGGCAGGCTCAGTGGTGAATTTAGCACCCCAGCTTCTAGGAAGGCAATCCCTATATCTGTCTGGAAATAGTCAGCAGGATACCACAGCACACTTCCCTCACTGGGGTGTCTCTAATCTCTCTGCATTACCTGCAGAGAACAAGAACTGGTTGTAAGAGAAACACTGAGCCTTACAAAATTCTGATACCTTGGTCCTCTTTTGGCCTATTTTCTTCTCTTCCAACATTACCTAGAGTCCCAATATGTGGAACAATGCTCTTGAGGGAGGATTAAAAATTACTTTAAATACCTATCCAAGTAATAAAGTGAAGAATAAGGGAATATTGTCTAAATAACATTTTGTGAGGAAAAGAAATTGTACTACATTTGGAGAAAGTTTTAGATAGATGTTTACAATGTTGACTCTTACCAGCATGAGACTTTTGGTATTTTTCCATTTCAAATGGATAATCTGCCAGAGATTTTGGAAATTTTCACAGGTGTACACTTACAGTCAAACTGCTGTAATGTAAGAGGGGGAGGGAGGGGTGATGAGGACTGCATAACTTGCTATTTGCACATACATACAATAAGCAATACAGTGGTTTACAACAAAACCTTAAATGAAAGTGTTCTCACCCATAATCTCCAGAATTGATGTGCTGAATTAAGTCTTGGCGAACAAGGCATATTTCTTCTGAACACTTCCAGAGACTTTGCAAGCATTTGCTGAAAGGGCAAGAATATCACTCAGCAGAAAATAAATTGTCAAATGAAAAATATGCACTTTAACAGCAGAAGGAAGATGGATAAAAAACCAAAAGTGTTAACAATATAAATGGCACACAATATTTATGAAAACACGATGCTACTTCTTGCTACTTCACTACCTAATGAATCCTAACTGGAACAAGGTGGGAAGGTTTACAGCTTATGGGAAAGGCTGTATTTGAAAAATTTTGCTTCCATGTTTCTCAGACCAAACTAGGTGTAAAAGACAATGTCCTGTACAGGAGACCTTTTGAGAAAGCTTCACGCTGGAAATCCAGAAAGGAGCCGTGTTGCAGTAGACACGTTGCTCCAAGGACCCCAGGCTACAGTCAGGGCAGCGGGGGCCCCAGCTCTGTTTGGGTGATACTGGAGTCCCCTGGGCTTCCTTAGGGCTGGAGGTGCAAGGCTGGTTTTTGGAGCAACAAAGCAGAGAGGCAGCTCAGGCAGCCAGCTGCCAGGACTGGCAGCAGAGCTCCCTTTCCTGCACCACCTGCTCCTGTCCCAAAGCAGAAAAAGGAATGCTCAAACAGTTCATCCCTTTCCTACATAAATATATATATATATATCCCTCCTTTGTGAAATAATGCCAGGTTTCATCACTCATGCCAGAGAAACAGAGGAAGACATTCTAAAATAATACCCTAAACTTTAATGGTAATTGTTTTGTCTGCATTCAGGCAAGTCTAGGCTGAAACCATTTTGACTTAAGTCAGAGCCAGCAGACTGACTGAGCAGGAACAGAATTAGGCCAGGGAGGTGGAGATTTTAATACTCTATTTTTTATATGTTAATTAGAAAGCCCATAGGGTAACTCTTGCCATTCTTCTAAACTGGCTGTAATCTAGTACTACAATAGCTTAATACAGCACTACTCTTCCAGCTATTTTGATTTGATTACAGTTAGTATGAATTTAAGGATGCTGACTACCTTAATTCATCTTTCATGACATATGCTAAATAAAATTCAATTTGCTGTTCTCTAAAACATTACCAGGAATTGCAGTTGTCTTTAATTATTGTTCCTTCTCCGTAATATCGGCCAGCTCTATAACAACCTGCCAACATAACATATACATGTGTGAAAAAAATTACCATTTTTTAAGTCAATTAACTCAAAACTCTTGCTACTATTGAATTAATTAGTTATATGCAATGTGCAGAAATTATTTACTTGAAAGTCAGGAACATTTTTTTCCAGTTTCTTCCGAGTAATGAGGGCAGTTTGATGTATTTTAATATTTGACCAGGTGCATTATCATTCATAGTAAGGAAAATCAGCAACAGATTCAAAACACCCACTGAAAAAATATCTTACATGTAAAAAATATAATTCTTCAAATAAAGTTATTTTTCTCTAATAAAATTCAATAGAATACACTCCAAATAAAAATAATTTTCCATTTGTCAATTAAAATGAAAATAAGATTTTCCAGCTATAGAATTTTAAAAATTAATAACAACTCCAAGCCTATTGTAATATCTTCTTTTTCCTTCCCAGTTTAATTTCTTTTAGAAAAACAGGTCGATCAATTATGTTTCAAGGAAATGTGTGTTTCTTATATTCTCCAAACCCAATATAAAACCTAAACTCAGTGATGATTTTTCCAAACAAATACATGCTTCCTAATTTTTTTCTTGGATAACACTTTTGTGAGAAAAGACTTTGTGTGTGTTTTAAAGTCTTCCATACAAACTCTTTCTTTGGTGTGCTTGATTGTCAAAACTTCAATAAAATAAAGATCCAATCACAGAATCACAGAATGGTTTGGGTTGGAAGGGACTGCAAAGATCATCTAGTTTCAACCCACCTTGCCATGAGCAGAGATACCTTCCCCTGAACCAGGTTGCTTAAAGCTCCATCCAGCCTGGCCTGGAAGAATGTCTGCACAGAGCTTTGGATCAAGTCTATAACAAACATAGTACATTTATCCCATGGGGCTTTGTTTTCCAGCCAGGTAGAGATTGTGGTTCCTCCCCCACTAAAAAGATTCGAAGCCAGAACCTTCAAGTTCTGTTTTCTCCTCCATTTTCAAGAAGCTTAAACCATATTTTGTATTAATATAGTGTTGACTTGCATTTGCAGTAGTACATCGTGCTTTTTCCCTACCACAGGTGTGAGGAAGCCTCTCACGGTGAGGGCTGTCTGCCATGTGCGCCTCGGCTGCCTAAACATCTCTTATTGGCATTAGCCGTAGCTAATTTCATACCAAAGTAGACTAGAGCTGATGAATTAATTATATGTGCCTGTCTTTCCCTGTTAGTCATACAGTAGGCTATGTTAGTGCAGGTATGACAGATATCCCACCTACACAGTCTGACGTCCCAAGTGTCTGCTCTAATTCAGCTTCTGCTGAGAGCCGAGGCATTTTTCAGGGAATACATGATGTGAATTACTTAAGTGTTCACAGTTTGTCACAGTCTGTCACAGTCAGCATCAGGCAGTAGCTAGAAGGAGGCATCAAGCAAGATACTTCAAATATATCAAGGGAAGAAAGTACTGATGCAGCATCTGAGGGACAGAGCCTCACTGGAGCTCTGCTAGCAGGAATCATCGACCATGCCTGGGAAAAAATGCAAACCTGGACAAGTATAGAAGAATCTTTCTAATATTATAAATGCTTAGGGGATTGAAGATTAAAACCATTCAGTTTCTCTAGTCCAGCCAAATTAAGACTAAGAGGGCCAGGAATGCTGCCTGAGGCATCAGTGGCAGAGGGCAGAGATATCTAAGCTAAAAGACACTGTTTGCATGAGAACACAGAAAGATTGGCTGTGATCATATTCAGTTGGAATATTAATATATTAAGTGGAAATCAAATAATTTGAAGATGCAGCTTTATGACTTTATGAATGGGATTATATTATGTGAAAATCATGGTTGGAAGGAAGAGTATTTGATGAACAAGGACTTCCCTCACAGTCCAGCATTCCTGTACCCTTACAGATCTTACTTAATTTGCCCCCACTACTGGTGTAAGTACTGTCAGTGAAATGTCTCCAGGTTTATTCAATTGTAGGCCAGATCCTGGTCGTGTGGTGCAAAAGCAATTAGCAAACTCTCTGGATGTCACTTCTATGCCACCTTCAGAGTGAGACCCAGTGTGTTGACCCTGACAGGGCTTTTTTGTACAATCAGAGTAATCGAAAGAAAAAGATAAATAATAAATATACTCAGTAAATAAAACTGTAGCAGTTCTTCTAATAACAAAAATTAAAATAATAATAATTTTAAAAATCCAGACTTTCTATTTGGTATCTAAGGCAGGCATGTGCACAGTTTCTTATAAAACTACAAGGAAAGACATCAAAAAATACTGAATGCTGGGTTCATAAAGGCAAAGTCAAAGCAGTTCCATACAGTTAAACCAAAACTGGCCCTCCCCACAGTGCACACCCATGCAAGAAGCCAAGTAGCTCACTGTTGCAGTGCACCAAGTCAGTGAATAGGCAGCAATCCAGAAATAAAGCACCGAGCAGTTTTATTGCTGCTCATTCCAGCCCAAGTAAAGCACTTCAGGTTATTGGTTTATTTAAAGAAATATGACTCAGGAAGCACTGAGAGCAAAACCACAGGCAACCAAAAGATCAAAATCTTCCAGGTGAAAAGTACTTTGGCATAAGTGGTCTTCTAGTGCTTAAGTAATTCTTAGCCAAAGGCAGAAGTGTAATCTCAGTAGCTAAAAGTCAGCTAATATACTTAAGTCATTTCTAAAAATGTTTCATATTTTGCTTAACCTTCAGGCATTCAGATTTTTTTTTCTATTTTTTTCTTCCAATTAGATTCTCTCTTCCCTGTTCCTCAGACATTCCAGTTCTAGAAAGTTACTTTACAGTTGTGGATTTTTTTTTTTCCTTCCACATTTTGGCTGCTTTATTATTCCCCTTTTACCCTCTAAATTACTTACATAACAAATATCCAACAAAGACATTTTTAAAAAGCTGCAGATTTTCCATCAGGGAAGCACTTTAAGGATCAGAAAAACAGGATCTTGTTTTGAGGTGCTTGAACACAGTAAATATAATTTCTACCTCTTGCAGGTATGTACAGTCCAGGTGTTACAAAACACTGAACATACATACAAAAATTGGATTAAGAAAGGCAGTAAACATGTTATGCCTCACTTATTCCCTTATCTAAACTTTCTGTTATACTTTTACCTTTTAAAGGTACACCTCCATGCAGGTCCCACATGGAAAAATGCTGCAGGTTTTGTAGTGATTTGTTTCCATGAAACATCAAACTAGAGCCGCAGGCTGTCAGCTCTGGAGCAGAAAGGCTGCTAAATGTTTATGTAGAGCTTTTGACAACAATCCCCTGATCTGCCAGAAATGCGCCAAATAAATATGAAAGAAGTCTCTTTATTTACATAAATAAAGGACATTCTTTTAGATTATTAGAAACACTTTAGAAAATCAAAGTTGGTTTACAGCATTTCTGTCACTCCTACTTATCATATTTTGGCTGCATGCCTAGCTGACAAACATAGCCTTCTGAACAGTTTGTGGTCTGAGTGCTGGAAGGCAAGCAGTAGGGTTATTGTGAAGAAATAGTTAAAATTAAGGATTCATGGCATCATTTTTGTCGATTTTAGGCTTCTAAAAGTTTGGTACAGTCTCTAAATTTTCAGCCAGGTTTGGTGTACCAATAGCAACAACCTACATAGTCGTAGAATCCACAATTCTAAACTTTTCTCACCAGCAGAGATTTGGCATAAAAGGGAACCAAGGGAGGACCAGCTGTCTGTAGACAATTTTTTTGCAATCTCTAGTTCTAAAAAAAAATAGACTAAGTTTAGAGTACTCCCGGAGGAATTTCCACTACAAACTAACTAGTAAGAAACTAAAATATGCCAGAAATACTTGATCTAACCACATCCCTGTACCTACTCCTGCTTTTGTGCTGTCCCCCATGAAAGCTATGCTGGATCAAAACCATCGCATAATACTTCAGAACAGTACAATTCAGAATAACCCTCAGTTTTCTTGATTATTTGTATGTACTGATGGATATGATAATTTAGAGCTTGCTGTTCACCTATTGTTGGGCTGTGAAGCTCTATTGAAATTGTTGAGATTACTTTAATTTTAACTCAATGAGGTTATCTCTGAGAAGTTGCAAGTAAAACAGAGATTCTGTCCAACAAAAATATCATTTAACCAATTTAACCAATGCTAAAAATACATTGCTAGAGACACAGAAATAACAGCAAGTGTAATTCTTACTCCAGTTTCATACTGTCTTTCTCCACTATGTCTTTAGTCACGTTTTTAGGATGCATGCGCTCTGATCAGTAATTTTGCTTCCAAGTATATTTTTATCATGATGTATTAATGCCAACTAAACATTTTCTTTAAGCCTACCTGATGTCAGAGGTGGCCAAGGTTCATCTGACCTGGTGGGCTCAACACGGTGGTCACAGACATCCCAGTAGTCAGCACAGCAGTCTACAGGGCCAGGAGAACCTGAGGCACAGAACTGGTCACAGTAACATATAGCTGCTCTGGAGACAATATTAAAGCTGCAGTCATCATCTCTTCCTGTGCAACAGCCTCGTACCCTGCAGGATCTTCCCTGATACAGACTCCTTTTTAGCCTGTTCCACTTTGCAGAACCATCATCTTCAACACGGTAAAGTCCTCGGGAGAAATTTTTTCTAGAGTCAAGCTGCTTTGCCATCCAAACTTCACTTGCAATGCAATATAAGATCAATATCTGACTTTTGAGACACATTCTTTTACCTCTAGCAACCTTATTTCAAGCTCTCTGTGCTTCACTTTAGCAGTAAATATCCATTTACTGCACATGCAATTACTTCAGTTAGTATTCAGAAAGAAGTCTGAGCAGAAATCTACAGGCTGTTTTCTAGGCAGGTTCTCTATGTGTTAATTATTAGTCAGTCTCGTTATAAACTGATTTATTACAAAGATACTGGAAACAGAGCCATAACTATGTATTAATCTTTATGAAACGTTGGGTGCATTCTTTTGCAACTGGGAAAATTTCTAGTAAAGGTTTCAGAATATAAAGAATATACCCGGTCTAATATTTTAGTTCTATACTTTTCTGAAATGAACAATGTCAGGAGTAAGTCAAAGGAAGCTCACTTTCCTTCTGGCTTCATTTACCTGTAACTACTATGTTCTCCATGTGATAGAAAACTATATAACAGATTGCATTTCATTTATGTTTGCCTTTCTGATCTGCAGAGCTATATCACTGCATTAAATGTATCCTGAATCCCCCATTTCAATCTTGCTTCCAGTGATCTAGGTTAGCTTTATATGCTTCATTTTGCACTGGTTTACTGTATGTTAATTTAGAAAAAGTCAGGTGAGATTCAGTATAATCTATTACCCTAAGATATTCCTTAAAGGTTTCATTTCTTTAGTCAAAATGAACTTAGCAGTCATCGTTAAAAGCACAATAAATACCCACTGAGCAGATATCAAAAGATAAATCTAACAGCCTTTATTACTTGATCTCTGATCTCCAGGTTTTTGAACATCAGACATAAAGAAATATGCATGGTTCTTTTACCAAAGCTTAAAAGAATAAAAAATAAAAGCAGCAAAAGAACTTTGACATTCCTAACAGAGATAGCATGTAAGGCTAAACTGAAAAAAAATCATAGTTTCAAATCTGAACCATTACAAGACAATTTAAGGCTCCAAGCTGAATAAGCAGAGGAAAAATCTAGTCATCATTTTGTCTCCATTTTGTAGTAAATGAGAGGAACCTGGAGAAGGAGATGGCAGTCTGTTTCCTAGGGAGTGAAGGGGATCTTTCCCTTTGTGACTTCAGCTGGGCTTTTCAGTGCTGCAGGAAGTCAGAGCATCAAAGGATAGTCACTTTTGAAAGCACAGCTGGTTTGGATGCATTAGCGTGACTAGCAGAGATATTAAGTGGTAATGTGTGTGTGTATGTTTATATGTATGGGCTTGTAATCAAAATAATACCATTTCTTGCCAGCAGTGCTTTATATTGGACCTGCCTCCCACACTGTCCCCACCAGAGCTAAATAACTGTGAATGAGGGGAAATTGCATCAGACCACACGATTTCTACATTCCTCTGTTGCAAGCAATCTTCTGTATGGAAGTTAATAGAAAGGCCAAGGTCAGCAACATGCAATCACTGTACATCACATAATAGGAAATAAATCCTTAAAATTTGCTCTGTGAGGGTTTTTTTTGTATAAAGTTTTATTTATGAGACAGAAGTCTGGACGACATTGAAGTCTGTCACTGGCTGCTGTATTACATCAAATATAACATCAGGAAAGTGGGAAAAGACATGTTCATGGAGACTCAAGTGAAGTGCTCACTAGAAATGATAATCCAGTTCTTTTCCTTATGCCTGTTCAGCTCCATCAGTTCCAGGAGAATGACTCCTGATTTGCACTGACATTATCAAAAAAGCACATCATCATTGTTAGCACAGATCTTTGGAAATACTTTATAAAGTTATCTCCTTGTTCTGGAAGCATAAGAAATTAAATATTCTACCATCTGTGATAAATGTTACCAGCCAGTCAGATTAAGTGAACAAGCATGTCTGTGTTTTAAGTTATAGACCTCTGGTTTCGCTTTGGTTTGTTTGGTATTTTGTTTTTAATTTTCAACTTTGAAGACTTGCCAATGATAAACCAGAGGCAAGGTATTTGCTTGGAAATCAGCTAGTTTACACAGGAATGATATTTCTTTTAAAGGAGAGTGAAAATGTAACTTGTACTTCTAAACAGCTTTGTTTTGTGACACAAGAAACCGTGCTGAAATTTACTTTTTCACAGTCGTTGGCATAAAAAAAAAAATCAAAAACTAAACAAAAAAAATCCAAAACCATTAATCTATTCTATTGTGATTCAGCAAATATTTTTATTTCAGTAGTTTCCTTTGTAAGCAAAGTAACTCTGCTCAGTGTAAAAAACCATACATTGACTTACCTGTGACTATTTAGAATCAGTTAAACTTGATCCTTTTTCTCTATTGAAGATAAACCTATTCCAAGCATAGCAGCTCTGCTAAGCTTTTGAGTTAGGGTCCTAGTCCTAGTTCTAGTCTCTACGATTAAGTACAAAAATATCTGACTTGTACCTGTTTCAGCATTACTTGATTTCTACCCTTGAGCTTCAAAAAACACCCCACATCTGACAGAAATTCAAATATTAGTATCACTGAACTGGTGGAGTAACAGATAAAAACCAGCTTTAAATGTCCAAGAATCTCTTTAAAGCTGGAGCATAATTATTCCACAGCCTTTCTTTCAAAAGTCTCATGATTTGTCTGAATGAGCCTATTGAGTAATATAAAAATTTCATTTCTAACCACCTTCAGAGTGCAGGAGATAGCAGTGGTCACTGAGGTTCTGGGTGCTGAAGGTCACCTCCGGGATGGACAACCCATTAACGAAGACCACAGCACCTTCCCTTCTGGCTGCTGCAAGCAGACTGGTATCAACGTTTGTGCACAGATCTAGAAGGAGAATTGCAGTACTGCTAAATTTTGCCAGGAAAATGGAGTGACTCTCAGCACATTTAGGAAAAAAGCAGGACATCAGACCCCAATTCAGTCATTTGCCAGTAGGCACAACACAATGCATAAGAGAAGCCCTGTAATTGCTTATCTCCGAGTTAAACTCTGCAATGATACAGGCCATCCTTTTCTTTGAACTCAAACAGAAATTTGACTGGTGACTCCTTGCACAAAATATATCACTACTTTGTAATGACTGCCACAGCTTGCACTTACTACTCTTATTAACAACTGCAGTGCAATATAAGTAATGCAGTAAAAAACACTTCACCTAAAGTATTATCCCACAACGTCTTCTCTGTCCTATGTTCTAATGGCAGAATAGGATTCCTAAATTGCGAGTGACTAGCTTCTAGATGTGTTTGTGCAGAGAAAAGCAATGTGTTAAAGTGATTTTCTCACTGTCACTTTGGTCTCCATATGTTTGGAGTAGGAATGGGGCTGCTTTCACCCTGTTTGACAACAGCCTGGCAGCTCACTGCTGTGAGTTGTTGGCATGGTATCAAACAGTTCCATTCTTAATTCAGACATTTCAGGCTGTCTATCTCAATTCTTACGATTCTAATCCAGATTTCCATGTAATTTAGAATAATGGCGGTTTAAGTGATAAAGCTCATCAGATGTCTAACTAGAGTCCTGCCACAGTATGATTTACCTCTGTGACCAGCATGCCCAGATCCACAGATATTTAAATCAACAGATTTAGGGTCAAAGTAAGAGGTAGAGAAACTGACCCCAATTGCTCGTGCCAAAGAAATCCCATTCGTCATACAGACAGATTCACACACACAAGTGCTCAAGCACTCAATCAACAACCACAGGTAAAAGGTGACCATATAGGCACTACATTGTACTAAGTGGTTGCTACAGCCTCATAGCCTTTACACTCTTCTCATTACAGTAATTCACCACACAAGCTTCCCACCCCAGCAGCATCACTTGGTCAACCTCAAGGCAGCAGGTGCCATGTTCTTCTTGCCAGCCATACTGCAGCATTGCCCTGAGGTCAGCCCTCTCTGGGTTCAGTCAAGTAAATACGTGTGAAGAATGGGGAAAACTGTGCATGAACCAGCACAGTATGTGTGCAATGACACAGCTGCAAGCATTCTCCTAAACAGTGTTTCACTACAGCTTGCAGAACAGGTAAGAGCAGTCATTGTGGCTTATATCTGGATGGGAACCTCTCAGGAGACACAGCCAGGCATGGAAATCTTGGCAGTGGAACCAAAATATCATGGACCACATGCCACCTTTGTTATGCTGTCAGTGTAGATTACTGTGGTCAGATTAGTCTGTGCATGGCTGCACACAGCTTCAGAGAGATGATGCTTGCAGTAAGCTTGCCAATTGCAAACCTCACCAACCAGTTAGAGGTGACGAGGGGAACATACTATATTTCACTGTCAGTATGAGCTCTCAGAAGGTTTTGTGCAGATGTTTCATGGCAGATATGTACCTACTGGTGTTCATCTCAAATATGTGGCCCTATCTGGTCCCAGCAGTGAATGCTGGCACTCCGAGTCCAAACTCTTCTTTTGATCATGAGTAGACTGACAAGGGCAGTGGCAGAAGTAGCCTCTCAAACCAATATTAGAAACCTGAACAGGTCGTCCATATGCCTACTATTAGGCTTAACATCAGGCCCGCTTAGTGGCACTTTTGGATACATATTAAGTTTGGCATATTGCAACGCGATTGTCACCACTTGTAGAGAAGATAGCTTGCAGTAGGTTCTTCCCTAAACTTGTAAGCTACACCATACCATTTGTTTAGGGGTGTGTGACTTGACTACCATAGAAACAACCTAGTATCACCATGTATATAACTAGATACAACTCCTTGGATAAGTGAGAGCAGTCCTACACAGAAATCACCAGTTCATTTTTGTTCAGACATCTTTTATAATGTACAAAGAGATGCTGCAAGAATGATAAATACAACGTATTCATATGGTACAACTATGCCTTTGCTAATGCACACGCTAGATAGCCACTATTCCATACTCACCAGCCCCAGTAAGGCAGCCAGTGAGCCTGTGCAGGGTAAGCATCGGTCAGGTGGGAAAGGCTTGGCTTCTTAATCCTCATAACAGGATGATTCTCAGTGTTGCTGAGTTGCCATTTTCTGATCTCTGCTTTTAAGGATTTTTTTTTTTTTTTTTGCCTTAAGGTATAGATTTTTTTCCTTTTGTATCCTTGAGCTGTTACTGTTACTTTTTAACTGTTAGTTTTTAACTCTGCTTTTACTTCCCTGCCTTTGCATAGCTTTAGCTTCTGCACTTCCCGCTAT